GGTTGGGAAGTTGAGTGGGCGCCAGCCGGAGCGGGCGGCGGGGCTGGGTGGTGGGGCAGGCCTGCCCGGCTCTGCCGCTACGGAGCCCGGGCAGGGTCCCCGACACTCTGGGAGAAGCTCAGAGCTTTGCCAGCGAGCCAGAACAAGGGCACCAAGGTGGAGGCAAGAAAGGGCGCTGCCGTCGATGGCGAGGCCAATGGGAGGCAAAGCAGCAGCGAAGCAGCGGGGACGTCCGCTCCAAAAGCCCTTTTGGTTTCTCTCCTGGTGGACAATGAACATTTTGCCATTGTCCTGCACCCCCTCGTTGCCCCGTGCACTGGGGGTGCCTGAGAAATAACCCCTGGAGAAGGGCTCTGACTGCCCCAAGTGCCCATGCGTGCCCCAACCACATTCCCCAGCATCACCAAAGCAGCAGCGAAGCAGCGGGGACGTCCGCTCCAAAAGCCCTTTTGGTTTCTCTCCTGGTGGACAATGAACATTTTGCCATTGTCCTGCACCCCCTCGTTGCCCCGTGCACTGGGGGTGCCTGAGAAATAACCCCTGGAGAAGGGCTCTGACTGCCCCAAGTGCCCATGCGTGCCCCAACCACATTCCCCAGCATCACCCCAGTCTCTGTGCCCACGCAGTGTCAGGCTGTAGATCTCCATCCATGGAAGGACAGACGGACGATGACCCCCTGGAGCAGCCGAGAAGCCCCAGGAGATGGAGGGGGATGAGGGGGGACCCCCGTGGCACCTACCTGCAGACGTTCCTGCCATCAGGGTCCAGCTCCTGGGCAGAGCTCTGCACCCACAGCCACAGCTGGAGGCAGAGGATGGGCCGGGCGCTCCCCATCCCGGCGGGGCACAAGGGCCCGAGTCCCTGCAGCTCCCCAGACCCGCGCCGGCGTCCGTCTGTCCCGTCCGTCTGTCCCGTCCCTCCCGTAGCGCGGCCTCTTCCTCCCTCCAGCCTTGGGTTTCTTCCTGAGGAAATGTGGGAGGAGGCGCCCCGATCCAGACGTCAGGGGTGCGGCGGGGAGGGGGAGGCAGGGAATGCCACCGCACGGGCTATCTTTGGCCCTTGGTGCCACCCTGGCAGCAGCAACAGGCGGCCAGGGGCTCGGCGAAGCCACGCAGGGGACCGCTTCAGCCTCTGCAGCTCCACTCCCCATCACAGCTGCCCCCCCCAAAGGGGCTCCGGGGTCTGGGACAGCGCAGCTGGCCACTGCCCTTTGCATCAGCGCACGAAAAGCGACGGCTACGCTGGAGAACTGCGGCTGAAGCCCAGCAGCATCACCCAGCCCTTCCCAAGCAAGGCGAGCACGGAGGCTGCAGCGGGGACCTCGGAGGAGAAACGAGAGACTGATTTATTTCCAACTCCAGTTCTAGAGCTACAAAGTACCTGACCCGAGGGGATCAACTTGTCCCCATGAATATGAGGATTATTCCAGTCTGACAGTTCCCAGCAGTAGCAGGAAGTGGTTCCAGTACAAAACCAATTCACCTCATGCCTGAAAAGTGCAGGAGTGGCACTTGAGGTGCTTATCCCGACTGCTCCCAGACACCCGGTGCAGCGTGCCCAGCCCCTCCCAGCCGTGTGGTGACCCCGGGACTGCGCCCAGCCCGGCCTGGGCACCCCAACTCGACCTTCACATTGCAGGGATGGGGGGGGGAGGTATGAGTGGAAAGGGGGGGGAGCGAAATAACCCCAGCAGGGCAGGATCCGGTGATGGGATCCTGGGCTGCGAGCAGAAGTGCTTGGTGGAAAGAGCCACCAGCAGACGGGGAGAGCCCTTTGGGGTGCGGCAGCAGGAAAGGGGTGCAGACCCCCACCACACTGAGAAGTGGGGAGTGGGGCCACGGCTGCGCGGGACCCCCATGGGCACAACGAAAGGGTGACTGATGGGCAGAGACGCCCGGAGGTGCTGAGCCATCCCGTGCCAGGCCAGTACCCCACAGATGAGTGTCCCAGCGGGTTTGGAGGAAGGCTGCCCACGCTGCGGCTTCACCGTCACCACGGCATGGGGAAGCGGCCAGGGCTGTCGTGCCACTCTCGAAGATGCCAGGAGAAGAGGAGCCGGGAAGCGCTGCTGCGAGGCCAGACCCGGCTGCTGTTCAGGTGGGGTCAGAGGGGCGGCGTGGCTCTGTCGGGGGAGCCGGCCACCGGCTCCCCCGCCCCCCTCGGCTTCCCCTGCGGGT